TGTATGTATTTGGTTTTATTGTATTTTTATACTATTTTTATTCTATTTCAACTGATATTTATTTGTTGTTTTTACTATAAACTGCCCAGAGTCACTTCCTCATAAGATGGGCAATGTCTAAATCTGAAATATAAATAAACTCTCAGGACTCATAGCAGAGATTGTAATGCAGCATCTAAAAACTATAGCACTTCCATGCATTCAACCAAAAATATGGATCCAGTATGTAGATGTCACCTTTGTCATAATAAAAAAAGGAACAACTAGAGAAAACACATGAAAAATCAACATCTTCAAAGGAATAAAATTTACAAGGGAAGATGAAAACAACAACACACTATCCTTCCTGGACATCCACATCAGCAGAGGAAATTATGGCAAATTGGAAACACAAGTCTATCGGAAAACAACCCACACTAACCAAGTGTTCCATTACCAAAGTAACAACCAACCTCCCACAAGAGGAGCTGTGTAGGAACATTATTCAAATGAGCGCAAATGCACTACAGCAGAAAAAGGAAACAGACCGCCTATACAACATCGTGCAACAAAATGGATATCCATGCAACTTTATCAAAAAGTGCCTGACACTCAACCTGCTAGAACACAACCCACACAAGCTATGAAAAGGGTCACACTGCCATACGTCAGAAATGTCTCAGAAACTACCAACAGACTATTACAACCACATGGCCTCTCTGTAGCACACAAACTAACTAACGCCCTCCAAAACATCTTAAGCAAACCAAAAGACCCAGTAGCCCAAGAAGAGGAAAGAGGAGTCATCTACAACATGCAGTGTAAGGACTGTAACAACCACTATGTAGGACAGACAGGCAGAAGGCTGGCAGAGCGCATCCATGACACCATCGTGTCAGAAGACACAATGAAAACTACTTAATCTCACAACATATGGATAGACTTAACCACAGTTTCAACTGGGAAACACCAGGATTAACACCAGTCAAACAAGCAGTAAACAATACCCTAATCAAGGAACTACCAACTCAAACAATCTGGCAGTAAACAACAGCCTAATCTAGGAACTATCAAGGAAAAAACACCTCTCCCACCATACAGGGCCAACCACTGTATATAAACGGAGAGTAAACCCCACTCCATCCTAGCACTGAAGATGTTACTTAATTGGGTAATGAAATGTCTGCAAGAAAACAATGAAGCTACTACCAACTCAAACAATCTGGCAGTAAACAACAGCCTAATCTAGGAACTATCAAGGAAAAAACACCTCTCCCACCATACAGGGCCAACCACTGTATATAAACGGAGAGTAAACCCCACTCCATCCTAGCACTGAAGATGTTACTTAATTGGGTAATGAAATGTCTGCAAGAAAACAATGAAGCTCAGAGAACCCCAAGCACTCCACGGTTCAACGCTGAGCTACAGATCCTCTCTTCTGTCGGCTGAGGAAGCTGCTCCAGCTGAGTCTGTGGAATGTCAGCCTCAGGAAGGACAAAGGGAGACATCACATGATCAATCACAGGCACCACCTGAGCAGCTGGAGCCAGGTGAGAATGTCATAAGGCCTCCCAGTCCCTGCACCGGGTGGGTAGAAAGGAGAGCAGAACAGTGAAAGTCTATTAGGTTATGCAGAAAGCAAAGATGCAAGCAGTCTGATTAATGACAGCTGCCTGCAGCTCTGTTTAAGAAAGAAGCTCTCAGATAAGTTTCTTGCTGGAAACAATGTCTGGCATCTGACTTGTGTGTGTTGTGAGATTCATGTCTGGATCCTGCTTCTTGGACCTTTGAGCTGGCTGACAACCTTGACCTGGCTCTGAAACCTTGGACTGGCTTTAGGCGATTGATTCTTTGGCATGCTTCTATTCTCAAAGCAAATGTTGCAGCCAAGCCTTGGCTCCATTTACATTCCTGTGTTTGTTTGCATTCCTTGTTTCATTGTAAATCCTTCAGCTAGTAGTAAACTGATAATTACTCAAGAAACTGTGTGTGCTAGGTGCGACTGAAGCCTGAAGCAGGATAGTTACACAAATTGGAGAGAGAGAGAGAGATGAATAGAGGGGAAGGGAAGGAGTGGAGGTTTAGAAGGAAGGAGTCAGCAACCTTCTGAGTCCCTGGCCACCTGCCTCTCCCAGAGGGAGGGAAGGAAGGAAGGGGGAAAGGAGGAGGAGGAGGAGGAGGGAGGGAAAGTCAGGAAGTAGAGAAAGAGGATGGATGGATGGATGGAAGGAAGGAAGGAAGGATTTCATTGCAGTGGAGCAGAGAGACAAAGGTAGTCCTCACTTAACCACCACAATTGGGACCAGCAACTCCATTGTTAAGAGATGTGGTTGTAAAGGGAAACATGACTCTGCCTGACTTATGACATCAGTTTTGCTGAGGTCATTAAGTGAATCACCTGCAGTCATTAGGTATGATGTTACATGATCACAACTTGCAACTTACTTCCCCATAAACTTTGTCGGAAGCTGTCAGAAGGAGTTATCGAAGGTAGATAGGTCTAAGAGAACCAGAACATGGCAAATCCAATGCTGTTCCCCTCAAGGAAACAGCCAAAGTCAGTCTAAATTAAATTGAGTTTATGATGTTCAGATTTGAGGGTTCTGAACCAGTTTGGCCCCAGAAACTCAATCACTTTTAGCCCTGAGCCCAAAGGAGCTCGCTGGAAAAATTCAATTCCTGTGGCTGAGTTTATCGACTTGCCAAAATTTACCTACTTACTTGGGCTCAAATGCTCCTCCAGTCAGAAAAAATGTCTCTGCATACCCCTATACAGTAAAAAAAAAAAAAGTCAAAAACAGTAAATTGTAAGACCAAAAGCAAACTACAACAAACAGAAAAAAAATGAATGAATAATTAGAACAAATCCCTGTCAAGCCC